ATTAGATTTAATATTTAAATATAATCCAAGTTGTGTAGACCCAAGCCCAATTAGGGTTGTATATAAATAGTCCTAGTCTGTATCATTATTTGTACAATTCAATAATACAAATCCTTATTTCCTTTATTATTCTCTTCTCACTAAAGTGCCTCACACACTAACAATAATAACCTGACTTATCACAAACGTAGCATTCTCCTCTTATTTTAAAAGTTGGATTAGTAACACGGGGAATAAAATTATTATGATTATTATGACCAGGATTATAGTTGAGTTTGTGATTGTACCTCCTTTTGTGAAACTTATTCTGTGTGTGATCGAAAACTTCAATTTTTGAGACATCTGAGAATGTCGGAAGAAAAAACACACAAAATCTGAGTTATAAAACACTCTTTATAATTCATCAATGCCTGAGTCCAGAAAATTTTGAAAAAGTGAGTGATTCAGAATCAACAAAAGAAGCTTGGGAGGTTCTTGAGAAGTCTTTTGATGGTGTAGAAAAGGTGAAATAAGTGAGTTACAAGAGAACATATGAATTGCTCCAGATGGAAGATAGTGAGAGCATATATGATTTCTTCACTAGAGTTGCAAAACTAGTGAATCAAATCAAGGCATGTGGAGAAACATTAACAACAAGAGTTGTTGTTTCGAAGATCTTGAGATCTTTAGCTCCTAAGTTCAACCATGTGGTGGTGACTATAGAAGAGGGGAAAGACTTGTCGAAATTGACAAAGGAAGAGCTTCAAGGGACGCTTGAATCTCATGAACAAAGAATGAATGAAAGAGTTGCAGGAAAATCGAAGAGTGATATGGCCTTGCAGGCACATTCAGCAAAAGAAACCAAGGGAAAAGGAAAGTGTTTCGATAGAGGTAGAGGTGGCTACAACAAATCGAATGGTAGAGGAAACCAGATCGAAGGAAACGTGTTGAATCAAAGAAGACCATACCAAGGCAACCAAAGAGGCGGTGTTACAAATAGAGGAAGAGGTGGTGGTCGAAAACCTGATAAGAGTCACATTCAATGTTACAGTTGTCAGAAATATGGTCATTATTCGAGTGATTGTCCAGAAAAACGAAAGAATCAAGAAAGTGATGCAAAGCTTGCAAAACATGAAGAAGAAGAGATGATGATGATGGTCACAACAAGAGATGAAGATAGATTCAAGGACCAATGGTACTTGGATTCAGGATGTTCATCACATATGTATGGAAGGAAAGACTAGTTTGTGAACATAAAGCCCTCAATGAAAAATATGGTAAAATTCGCAAATGACAATACTCTAGCAGCTGAAGGTATTGGTGATGTTATGATTATGATGAAAGATGGCAAGAGGTCAATAATTTCCAATGTGTTGTACACACCAGGCATGAAGAGCAATTTGCTCAGTATAGGATAGTTGGTCGAAAAGAGTTATAAATTGTCAGTCAAAGATAAGATGATGAGAGTCGTTGATGCAAATGGGAGATTAATCTTGAAGGCTCATATGTCTCAGAATCGAACCTTCAAGTTCGAACTAAATGTGATGGAGCACAAGTGTCTTTCGACTGCAGCTAGAAGAGATGAATGAATATGGAATTATCGACTAGGCCATCTCAACTTCGGAGACATCAGAGATTTGAAGAGAAGAAATATGGTTTCAGGATTGCTAGAAATCGATATTCCAAATGAGGTATGTGAGGAATGTGTGCAGGCGAAGCAGCACAAGAATAGCTTCAGCAAGGATGCAGGAAGCAGGTCGAAGGTTATTCTTGAAGTCATATACTCTAATGTATGTGGACCAATCCAAATGGATTCGAAGGGAGGTAAAAAATACTTTGTTACACTCATAGATCATTTCAGTCGAAAGTTATGGACTTACCTGATCAAGAAGAAAGTGAAGTGATCGAGGTATTTGTCAAGTTTAAGTCTATGGTCAAAAGACAAAGTGGTCGAAAACTCAAAGTTTTGAGAACTGATGATGGTGGAGAGTATATGTCGAAAGACTTCGACAGGTTATGTGAAAAGGAAGGGATTATGCATGAGGTGGTGCCACCCTATACTCCACAAAATAATGGAACTAGAGAAAGGAAGAATCTAACCATCATGAATATGGTGAGAAGTATGTTGAAAGGAAAGAATTTACCTAAAGATTTTTGGGGTGAAGTTGTATCGAATGTAACATACATTTTGAACAAATGTCCTACGAAGAATTTAGAAGGAATTACTCAAGAAGAATGTTGGTCTGGTGTGAATCCTAGCTTGAGTCATCTGAAGGTATTTGGATCTATTGCACATAGACATGTGCCAGATCAATTGAGAAGAAAACTTCATGACAAGTCGAGTCAAATGATTCTAGTTCGATATCATTCGACAGGAGGTTACAAGTTGTTCGACCCAGTGAACAAGCAGGTTGTGATTAGCAGGGACGTGATCATAGATGAGCTTAAATAATGGGATTGGACTGAAAATGTCAAGAAAGATTCAGTGGAATCCTACTTGAAGAACCAGAAACTCAAGTCGAAAGAGAAGTTTGACAAGAAGAACCAAAAAATATACCAAGTACAAGCAGACCTCAAAGAGCAAGACGCATTCCTGCAAGATTACAAGATTGTGTGATTACATCAGATGATGTGATAGATAATGAAGATGAGTTGGTACATTATACTTTTTATGCAGATGTCGAACATATCAATGCAGCTGAAGCATTGAAGGATTTGAAGTGGGTGAAAGCAATGAACAAAGAAGTAAAGTCCATCAAAGACAATAACACTTGGTCACTTTTCGAATTGCCTCAAAGCAAGATGGAAATTGATGTCAAGTGGGTATACAAATTGAAAATGAATTCCAAAAGGGAAGTAAGTCGATACAAAGCAAGACTTGTGGCGAAAGTATTTCTACTGAAAAAAGGAATAGACTTCGATGAAGTTTGTGCACCTGTTGCTAGGATAGAAATAATCAAGTTGGTTGTTGGTCTAGCAGAAACAAACAGATGGCACATATGTCAGATAAACGTGAAATGTGCATTCCTGAATGGACCCTTAGACGAAGAAGCTTATGTTAAACAACCAGTTGGGTTTGTGAAACATGACGAAGAGAGAAAGGTGTACGGGCTGCATAAAGCCGTGTATAGATTGAAACAAGCTCCAAGAGCTTGGAATAAGAAAATAGATAGTTTACTAAGGGAGACGGAATTTGTGAAGTGCACAACTGAACATGGAGTATATGTAAGAAGAAGCAATAGCGAATTTCTTATACTATGTCTCTATGTCAATAATTTGTGGATAACAGGTAGCTACAAAAGTGAGATCGAATACTTCAAAGGTGATCTCAGCAAGGAATTTGAAATGTCTGATATGGGTGAGATTTCATATTTCCTTAGCATCGAATTCTACAAGAGCAGTACAGGTTTGATGATGCATCAAAGAAGATATGCGGGAGAAATTTTCAAGAGATTTGAGATGGAAGAATGCAACCCAACTTCGAAACCTGTAGAACCAAGACTGCGGTTTTCGAAAGATGCAGATGAATATGATGTCGACCCAACCCAATATAGAAGACTTATTGGGTCATTGAGATACATTTGTCATACAAGACTTGACTTAGCATATAGTGTAGGTACGGTAAGTAGATTCATGCAGAAGCCAAAGGTATCACATCTAGCAGCGGTGAAGAGGATACTAAGGTATCTCTAAGGAACTCTCGACTATGGCATTTTGTTTCCTGCAACTGATAAAGGAAAAGAATGCAAGTTAGTGGGATACACTGATTCAAGTTGGTGTTGTGATACTGAAGATCGAAAATCAACAGCAGAATATGTGTTTATGCTAGGCGGTGCACCAGTTGCTTGGAATTCGAGAAAGGAACCAGTAGTTGCATTATCATCATGCGAAGTAGAATATATAGCTGCTTCTCTTTGTGCATGTCAAGCAACTTGGATGGTGAACTTGGTCGAAGAGATAACAAGGAAAGATCATGGAGCAATTACCATGAAGATAGACAGCATATCAGCTATCAATATGGAAAAGAATCCAATAGCACATGATCGAAGCGAGTACATCGGAATGAGGTTTCATTATCTTCGAGAGCAGGTAGCAGATGAGAAGGTGAATTTGAAACACTACAGAACTGAGAATCAGATTGCAGATATCATGACGAAGGGAGTGCAAGTCGAAGTATTCAAAAGACTAAGAGTCATGATGAACATAGATAGTTTAGACACAATGAATTATGTGGTGTGTTAAATTGTAATTCATAGTGTCGAAAAGATTATATTTGTTTTAAATTTAAATAGATTTGATTTAGATCTAGAATAGAATAAATTTGATTTAGTAACAAAATAGATATTTTGAGCTTTGGGCTTAGGGTGTAAGCTCAATTATAAATAGAGGGAGTAACCCCTATTTTTTGTAAGCAAGTTAAGCAAGTCATTCACATAATTTTGCAGTTGCAAAGTGAATAATAAAATTTTCACAGTTTGTGAGTAGAGAGAAACTCTGCAGAAATTATTTGTCTTGTATTCTTTCTTTGTTTGTCTCAAAATCAAATTGTCATTATGGTAGAAATTCATCATAGACTTTAGTGAGTTTCAAAAAAAAAAAAAAAATATATTTTTTAATCTTAGAATAATATTTATTTTGAAAACCAATTTTTATTACTAAAATAACATCTATGTTTAAAAAGGGGTTTAAAAATGTTTAAAACCACTTTTGTCTTCTACTTGTTTTTTGTTGTTTTAAAAAGGTTTAAAGTTAACATCTATGTTTAAGGGTTCACTCTTGTTTTGACTTCAACATTTCTTGAATCTCATAATGGTATTACAACTTGAAAGACAAAAGCCATCAACCATTATTCTTACTTTACAATACTATATTCTCACATTTCTATAAACATCTCATAGTGGCATCTCAACTTGCAAGCCCTTAGCCATCAACTCACACATTACAAATATCATATAAACCAACCAACTCCTCGTCCATTTCTCTTATCTCAATCCCCAATTAACCAACAAACATCCAAACAAATGACCACTATCACAAACTTTTTCCTTCTATTCATATTCATATTCATATTCCTCTCTCAAACTACATCTCTCTCAAAAGGATGCCATCCAGAAGATGAAAGAGCCCTTCTCCAAATCAAAAAAGAATTCAACAATCCATCCCTTCTCTCCTCATGGATACCACACACTGATTGCTGCAACTTTAAGTGGTCTGGTGTTGCTTGCTCCTCCTTAACCAACGATCGCGTCACCGATCTAAGTATCTCGAACAACATTCACATTACTTCTCATTTTCCTTCATCTATTGGTAACCTACCTTGCTTACAGACCTTATTTATCTATAACTTACCAAATCTCACTGGCCCAATTCCACAATCCATCATCAAACTCACCAACCTTATATACCTTACAATCAGTGAAACTGGTGTAACAGGTCCAATACCTAAATTTACGGACAAATTCAAAAACCTAGTTGAGTTGGATCTTTCACACAATAACATCATTGGAACACTCCCTCCTTCACTATATAAACTGCCTAGTCTTTCAGGGATTCTCTTTAACAACAACAACTTAAGCGGCTCGATCCCTTCCTCATATGGTTACTTCAATAGTAGCCATGTTTCTACTTTAGATCTCTCTTACAACAATCTCTCCGGGAAACTCCCTATTTCATTGGCCATGTTGGATATTTACGTTCTTGAATTGGCTTATAATAACTTTGAAGGCGATGCTTCTATGCTTTTTGGTTCCTATAAAAAGACATTGGTGATAGACATTTCGGGGAACCGTTTTGCTTTCGATTTTGGAAGAGTTGACTTGTCTCATACCATAGCAACGTTGGATGTGAGCCACAATAAGATATATGGGAACTTTCCTATGGCAATGGAAAATGTAACGTTTTTGAATGTGAGCTATAATAAGCTGTGTGGTGAGATTCCAAAGCTTGGTTATTTCAACACTTTTGATGTGTCTTCATTTGTTCATAACAAGTGTTTGTGTGGATCTCCTCTTCCAAGCTGCAAATGATCATTCATGTGTTATTGTATCTCAGAAATGAGAGTAATCTATTTATTGTGGATTTATAATCATTGTAGATTTGTTTGTTAGATAAATGGTAGCTAATGGTTTTAATTAATTAATATTCATGACGTGCTCTTTTTATTCATGATATAAATCAATCATCATGTATTTAGTAAAAGATGTTGAGGTTGTGAGTTGTTACCCGCTACAAAACCATTTAAAAAAAAAATCTTTTGTATCCAAGAATTTAGGTACAAGAGACTAACAAGACCTAACGTTTAGTCTACATACATTAGATTAGATTTTTTTTTAAATATAAAGGACCAATTTTTTTTATAAAACTATTTAGTTAAAAAATTAAGTAACGTGGGCTTCGGTGTTAAAGGAGCTCCTATTAATTATGTAATTCGAAAAATACTAGATTTGATTCGTAGATGAGAATAATACTTGGCTAGTTCCACGAAAGCTAAATTAAAATAAAATAAAAAACTATTTAGTTAAAAAGGTGATGGGAAAAATAGCAAGTATATTATTTTTGCATCTTGTAATAATATGGAAAGTTCTGTTAAACTCACACTAGAGCGAGAATCAATCAGAATCCTCTTGAAACTTCTGTCTTTTATGGTGCATGGTATTGCAACTGACCCCGAATCCTTCTGCTTGACAAGTATTTTTCTCTCGGATGCAATTACACACAATTCCTCATCACATGGTACAAATCCCTCTCCTATTGATCTCTTCTTTGATAATGTCTCCTTTATGAATTTCTGATACAAAGGCATTTTCTTGAGTGCTTCAAAGAATGGTAGATTGATCTCTAGCTTTTTGAACAACTGGAAAAATTTATCAAACTCTTTCTCTTTTTTGTCCTTCTTTGCCACTCGAGATGGATACAGTAATTTGATCACTGGTTTAGTCTTCTCTTCAAACTGGCTTCACAGGTGATACCACTTCTTCCTGTTTTTTCTCGTTCTCTCTCACTTCCAACTCTACTTCTCTGATATTATCATCAAATTTTACCTCATTTTTCTTCTCTTCAATAGCTTTCTCATTCTTTGTTGTGAAAGCATTAACATTCTCATGATTTTTATAATTTTCTTATGCTCGTAGCGCCACCTGTTGTGCAATCTGTCCCATTTGAACTTCCAAATTTTTTATTGCAGTTGTGGTATTTCTGTGATTACTCCTTGTCTCTTCTTGAAATTGAGAGGTGTGGGTAACCATCTTTTCAATAGCCACCTCCCACTCTTCCTTATGAGGAGATTGTTGTTGCTGATCTTTTCAAGAGAAGTTAGGATGATTCTTCCACCAAGGATTATAGGATGATTCCAAAGGAGGGGTGTAGCGGTATCTGAAGGAATTAGAGCTTGACCCAATAGGAAACATATAAGCTGAAAGGTCTGATACACTCATTGAAAGGGTATAAAAATCAGTGTCACTCCATACTAGCCATAGTCCCTGCCTCATAAGTCGGAGATACACTTCATCCTTCATCCTTCATCCAATCTATGCACAATCATTGTTAGAACAAATACACCATGAATAGGAAAACTAAAGACAAAGACGCCAAGTGCTTTTATAACTTACCAAATATAACTTTCATATCTTCTCAAAAATAGACATCCGTCAGGAATTGAACATCAATCAAGAACTGTAAGCATTTTTCGATGACCACATCTATGGGGCGACCATCTTCAAAGTAACCCAGGTCACTGGTGAATCTCATTGGATCTTTCTTTAGGTATAAATCTTCTCCAGTGAGTTCCTCGTATTTATATATGTATTCCTTATTCCCCATAAGAAAGTAACTCTTTGTCCAATACTTGGGGAACAAATCATCGCATATTCTATCCAATCTGTCCCCAAGAATACAAACCCTAACATTAGATTCCGGGCAGATGGAGGTGGCCATCAAGAACCAATCTTCGAAAGGTTGCAGCTCAGGGAGGGTCCCAAAGCCACGCAATATCGGCTCCAAATAAATTTACTCTTTGTTCTGTATTCGATTTGGAGAGACATGGCCACATCAAAAGAGATCAAACAAAAGGGTCATAAAAGGTTTTCCGTTTAGATATTCACACCAATTCTGATAGACCTTAACATATTCTTAGCTTGCAGGATGGGGTTGTGAATGAGCCATCTCCAAATGCTTCATGACTTATATCTCAAAGGAAGTGAAGGGTAGTCGAAGACCAAGAACTGAGAAAGTGCATTCATAAAAGGGAATGGCGCAATCACCATACTTACTTCATATCCTTTCATCCTTAGTGGGAGTTAAGACACCCTAATCAGATGATGGGCTAACTTCAAGAAAGGCTCCATCGAGACTGCCATTTTTAGCAAAACAACATAAATGTGAAAAAGTATATGAAATCCACCTAAGAAAATGAACTGAATTTTCTGTTATTGTGAGCACTCTTCTGTGATTTTTTACCCAAAATGCACTGACTTTTCATATGCATGGAAGTGAAATATCAAAAAAGGAAGATAACCGCTAAACTAGGAAAATGACTCAACAAAAGCAACACTGATTCTTCAATAACTATATTCTAGCATGCAAAAGGAATTAAACTCTATCAAACATCTCAAATCACTCGCACACAACACTCACGTGTTTCAGTTCCTAATAGTCGTAATGATGACACCTTCAAAAATACATTTGAAGTATTGAGCATTAAATGCATAAATCCCTAAGAAATTTAAATGTTTCTCTTTCTCTCTTCAAAGCCAAACAAGAGAGTGGTCACCATTAGAGGATAACGTGACAAACCCTTGCCTTAGTTCGCATAAGCAAGGGTTTTAGAGGCAACTATTATGGGTCGACCACCACCATGAAGGAACCACAATCCTTCCAAAATCTTCTTATCACACGAGGACTCTTATCTTTATTATCACAAAGTATCTCATCCGCATTCACATCCAACGGTTCTTCGTAGTTTACTCCTAACAAATAACAATTTTGTTATTTCCTCTCTCTATATATTGAGAATGCGCCAAATTTGGGTAACAAATTCCAAAACGACTTCAATTCACTCTTCTTCCTCACATATTGACATGAGTGTTAGAGTGATAACCTTGCAGGTCATCTCCTTCCATCGCGCCAGAGGCTCAAATCCTCCATCACTTCTAATACTCGCTGCATTTTTTATTCTAGAACAAAACATAATCATTTCTCCGTTTAAACTATTTCAATATCCAAATCATTGAAACAATTCATTTTTGTTGCACTCGCACATAACACTCACGTGTTTCAGTTCCTAATATCCAATTATATTGTTGATAACGTGTTTAGTTATCAATATTTTTGGAAATCCACCTATTCTTATGATGAATTTGTATCAATCTTGATGAACAAGATTGATATCACCACACAATAACGATGAAAAATATGAAAGAAAGAAAATAATCTTCTGCAGAGTTTCTCTCTATCCACAAACTGGAAAACTTCTTATTCACTTGCAACTACAAATTCTGTGAATACAACTTGATTGATTACAAAAATAGGGGTTACTCCCACTTTTTATAATTTTAGGTTAGCTTTCTATCTAAGCCAAAGCTCAAAACTATAAAAGTCCAAAATACATATTTTGGAACTAAATCAAATCTATCTATTTTAGACCTAAATCAAATTTATATATTTTAGATCTAAATCAAATATGTGTGTAACAAACTACTTCCACACTTTGAAACAATCTTTCCAACACTTCCTTCTTTCTGTCGAGCAAGCTACTTCGACACAAGGAATTATACTTTCAACACACCACCTAATTCATTGTGTGAGTCTAAGCTATATATATTCATCATAGCTCTTAGTATTCTGAATACTTTGACCTCCACACCCTTCGTCATGATGTCTGCAATCTGGTTCTCAGTTCTACAGTGTTCCATCTTCGTATTTCCTTCTACTACCTGTTCTCGAAGATAGTAGAACCTTATTTTGGTGTGCTTTCTTCGACCATATGCTATCAAATTATTCACCAGATTGGTAGTTGATATGTTGTCGATCTTCATGGTAATTGCTCCATGATCTTTACCTGTGATCTCTTTGACCAAGTTCATCATCCAAGTTGTCTGACATGTACAAAGAGAAGCAACTATGTACTCTGCTTCGCACGATGATAACACCACTACTTGTTCCTTTCTCAGACTCCAAGTAACTGGCGCACCACCTAGCATATATACATATCCTGTTGTGGATTTTCGATCCTTAACATCACTACACCAACTTGAATCAGTGTACCTCACCAACTTGCATTCTTTTCCTTTATCAGCTGCAGGAAATAAAATTACATAGTCAAGAGTTCCTTTCAGATACCTCAATATCCTCTTCGCCGGTGCTAGGTGTGATACCTTTGGCTTTTGCATAAATCTACTTACCACACCTACATTGTATGCTAAGTCAGGCCTTGTATGACAAAGGTATCTCAATGACCCAATAAGTCTTATGTATTGTGTTGGGTCAACATTATCTTCATATGCATCTTTCGAGAGTTGCATTCTTGGTTATGTAGGTGTCGAAGTCGTGTTGCATTCTTCCATCTCAAATTTCTTGAGAATTTCTCCTGCATATCTTCTTTGATGCATCATCAAACATCTAATGCTCTTATAGAATTCGATGCCAAGGAAATATGAAATGTCACCCAGATCAAACATTACAAATTCCTTGTTGAGATCACCTTTGAAGTCTTCAATCTCCTTCTTGCAACTATCTGTTATTAACAAGTCATCAACATAGAGACATAATATAAGGAACTCACTATTGCTTCTTCTTACATATACTCCATGTTCAGTTGTGCACTTCACAAATTCCTTCTCCCTTAGAAATCTATCTATCTTCTTATTCCAAGCTCTTGGAGCTTGCTTCAATCTATACAGGGCTTTATGCATCATGTACACCTTCTGTCTTCGCCATGCTTCACAAACCTAACTGGTTGTGCAACATAAACTTCTTCATCTAAGGGTCCATTCAGGAATGCACACTTCACGTCTATCTGACATATATGCCAACTATATATTTCTGCTAGACCAACAACCATCCTGGTTGTTTCGATCCTAGCCACAAGTGCAAAAACTTCATCGAAGTCAATCCCTTCTTTCTGGAGAAATCCTTTCACCATGAGCCTTTTCTTTGTGCCGAGTTATTTCCCATTTGGGATTCATCTTCACTTTGTATATTTACTTGACATCAATTTACTTATTGCCTTGAGGCAGTTCGACAAGTGACCAAGTATTGTTGTCTTCGATTGAATTCACTTATTCGTTCATTGCTTTCACCCACTTAGAATCTTTCAATGCTTCAATTGCATTGACAGGTTCGATATCTGCATAGAAATCATAATGTATCAGCTCACCTACATCATCAACTAAATCATCTGATGTAATCAAAAAATCTTGCAACCTGAAAGACATGCGTCTTGTTCTCCGAGGTCTGCTTGTACCCGGTTGATCTATAACTTCTTCTTGTCAAACTTCTCTTTCGACTTCAATTGCTGGTTCTTCGAATAATATTCTTACTGAATCTTTCTTAACATTTTCTGTCCAATCTCATTCCTTAAGCTCATCTATGATCACGTCCCTGCTAATCACAATCTACTTGTTCACTAGGTCGAACAACTTGTAACCTTCTGTCAAATGATATCCTACTAGGATCATTTGATTCGACTTGTCATCAAGTTTTCTTGTCAACTGATCTGGCACATGTCTATGTGCAATATATCCAAATGCCTTCAGATAACTCAAGCTAGGCTTCACACCAGACCAACATTCTTCTGGAGTAATTTCTTATAACTTCTTCGTCGGACATCTGTTCAATATGTATGTTGCGGTTGACACAACTTCACCCCAAAACTCTTTAGGTAAATGCTTTCCTTTCAACATACTTCTCACCATATTCATGATGGTTTAATTCTTCCTTTCTACTTTTCCATTTTGTTGTGGAGTGTAGGGTGACACCACCTCATGCACAATCCCTCCTTTTTCACATAATTTGTAAAATTCCTTCGACACATACTCTACACCACCACCAGTTCTCAAAATTTTGAGCTTTTGACCACTTTGTCTTTCGACCATAGACTTAAACTTGGCAAATACTTTGATCACTTCACTTTTCTTCTTGATCAGGTAAGTCCATAATTTTCGACTAAAATCATCTATGAATGTAACAAAGTATTTTTTACCTCCATTCGAATCCACCGGGATTGGTCCACATACATCAAAGTATATAATTTCAAGAATAGCCTTCAACTTGCTTCCTGCATCCTTGTTGAAGTTGTTCTTGTGCTGCTTCGCCTACACACATTCCTGACACACCACATTTGAAATGTCGATTTTTGGCAACCCTGAAACCATATTTCTTCTTTTCAAATCTCTGATGTCTTTGAAGTTGAGATGACCTAGTTGATAGTGCCATATCCATTCATCTCTGCTAGTTGCAGTCAAAAGGCACTTGTGCTCCATCACATTAAGTTCAATCTTGAAGGTTCTATTTTGAGACATGGGAGCCTTCAATATTAACCTTCTATTTGCATTGACGATTCTCAACATCTTGTCTTTGATCGACACTTTGTAGTTCTTTCGACCAACTTCCATATACTGAGCAAATTGCTCTTCATGTCCGGTATTACAACACATTGGAAATTATTGACTTCTTGCCATCTTTCCTCATAATCATAACATCACCAATACCTTTAGCTGCTAGAGTATTGTCAATTTGTTGAATTTCATTATGCTCTTCATTGAGGGTTTTATGTATGCAAATTAATCTTTCCGTCCAAACAAATGTGATGAGCATACTGAATCTAAGTACCATTGATCCTTGGATTTTTCTTCATCTCTTTTTCTGACCATCAACAACATCTCTTCTTCTTCATGCTTTGCGAACTTTGCATCACTTTCTTGATTCTTTCGCTTTTTTGGATAATCACTAGAATAATGACCATGCTTTTCACAATTGTAACACTGAATGTGAATCTTGTCAAGTTTTCGACCACCACCTTTTCCTCTATTTGCAACACCACCTTTTTGGTTGCCTTGGTATGGTCTTCTCTGATTCGAAAGATTTTCTTCGTGCTAGCTTCCTCTACCATTCGAATTGTTGTAGCCACCTCTATCTTTGTTGTCAAACTATTTTCCTTTGCCTTTGTCATCTTTTATTGATTAAGCATGCAGAGCCACATCACTCTTCGATTTTCCTGTAACTCTTTCAGCAATTCTTTGTTCATGAGATTCAAGCATCCCTTGAAGCTCTTCTTTCGACAAAGTTGACATGTCCTTCGACTCTTCTATGACAACTACGTCATGATTGAACTTCGAAGCCAAAGATCTCAAGATCTTCGAAACAATTACTCTTGTTATTAACGTCTCTCTACAAGTCTTGATTTAATTCACTTGTTTCGTAACCCTAGTGAAGAAATCAAATATGCTTTCACTATCTTCCATCTAAAGCAATTCATACGTTCTTTTATGAGTTTGTTACCTTGCCTCTTTCACTTTTTATGCACCTCCAAAAGATTTCTTAAGAATCTCCTAGACTTCTTTTGCAAATTCTACATCACTATCATTTTTGAAATTGTTTGGGCTGACACATTGATGAATTATAAAGAGAGCTTTATAATTCTTCTTTTTCAATTCTTTGTATTCCGCCTCTTCATTTTCTGTAGTGTCTTCATCAAGTGGTTATAATCCATATTTTACAAGTTCCCAAAGATCTTGAAAACATAATATAACCTTCATCTGTTTGCACCAATTCTCATAGTTATCACCTTTAAGAATCGAAAATTTTGATGGAAAATTTCCGCTTATATAATTCATCGCCATTGATTTTCTTCTTCTTCCCTTGATCGCTCAATCGGAGCTCTTGATATCAGATGTTGGAAATCCATCAATTCTTATGATGAATTTCTATCAATCTTGATGAACACGATTGTTATCACTACACAATAACGATGAAAAATATTATAGAAAGAAAGACAATGATATTCTGCAGAGTTTATCTCTGTCCACAAACAGTTGAAAACTTTTTATTCATTTGCAACTGTAAATTTTGTGAATACAACTTGATTGATTACAAAAATAGTGGTTACTCCCACTATTTATAATTTTAGGTTAGCTTACTCTCTAACCCAAAACTCAAAACTATAAAAGCCCAAAATAACTATTTTGGAACTAAATCAAATCTATATATTTTAGACGTAAATCAAATTTATCTATTTTTTATCTAAATCAAATCTGTGTGTAACAGACTGCTTCCACTCTTCAATATAATCTTTTCGACACTTTATTTTTGTCAAACAAACTATTTCGACACAAGAAATTATACTTTCAACAAATTTGTGTCAGTTTTGATGATTGAAATAGTAAAAATAGTTTGGACCATTTTATTCATATTAGTGTTTACTTCCTACATATTGACTATTTCCATTATTTCATTTATTCAATAAATTTTTCAATTACGTGCTGCTATACGGGCGTAAAAGCTAGTCTATAATGGTGGGATAAAACCGTGAATCAACAGGGAAATATTTTATATTGAAGTCTAGTTATTATTGTGAAAGTTGTTACAGTTTTGTAGCTACCTGATTTATCACCACTATTTTGACTAAAACATGATGCTATGTGTCCAATGTTTTCTAATACAAGAAATGAAAAAATAAACGTATACATGGAGCAACAAGCTCACTTGTTTTGACTACTGCTGTAGCATGACAAGTTGCATATATACCAATATAAATCTATACATACTTCTCATCCAAAAATACTAAGACCATGGCTACTAAGTTTTTTCTTCTGTTGATACTACTATCTCATGTTGCATCATCTCTCTCAGAAGGATGTCACCCACAAGACAAAAAAGCCCTTCTCCAAATCAAGAAAGAACTCAACAACCCAAGTCTTCTCTCTTCATGGAAACCGCATACTAATTGTTGTGACTCTAGTTGGTACGGTGTTATTTGCGCACCTTCTAACAACCGTGTTTACTCTATACTTTTCGAAAGCAATGATGATCTTGCTTTTCCATTTCCACCTTCTATAGGTAACCTACCTACCTTGGAGAACATACTTATATACAACTTACCACACCTCACTGGCTCAATCTCTCACTCTATAACCAAACTCACCCATCTCAAATCCCTCACAATATCAAAAACAGGCTTATCAGGTCCAATACCAAACTTCATTGGCAAATTGAAAAACCTCACTTTCTTGGATCTTTCTGAGAATCGCCTCTCCGGGACACTTCCTCCTCACCTCTTCCATTTGCCTAATTTTGAAGCAATGTACCTTCAAAACAACAAGTTAACAGGTTCAATCCCTTCTTCATTCGCAAGGTTGAACTCTTTGGTTGTCGACTTGTCTCATAACAGGCTTGAAGGTGATGCCTCAATGTTTTTTGGTATTGCGAAAAAGACAGAAACGATCGACCTTTCGTGGAACATGCTGGCGTTTGATATGGGAGGGCTAGAGTTTCCTGAGAAGTTAAAGCATTTGGATGTGAGTCATAATCGGGTTTATGGAAATCTCCCTGAGGTGGTGAAGAATTTGGAGTGGTTGGATGTGAGTTACAATAGACTATGTGGTGAGATTCCAAAGGGCGGCATATTGCAGGCATTGGGTATGAGTTCTTTCTCTCATAACAGGTGCTTATGTGGTTCTCCTCTTCCAAGCTGCAAGTGAATGTAATAATAACTTCATGTAAAACGGAGTAATTTGATGCATCTTCTAGGGAAATAAACTCTACGTTTTATTAATAATCAATGGAACAATGAAAAAAGGATATGGATTACAATTTACGTAGCTAAGCTTGTGATTCGGTTTGTCAAACCATAAATATAGTATTTAAACATAAACAGAAACCAAAAAAATCACAAACATGTGCAAGTAACCAGGGCCCCAAAAGTTGGGGGCCAGTGCTGTAGTTTTTGCTGCACATGGGAAAGATCGACCCTTATATGATTAATTATAGTAACCTGAGTTGGATTTTTTTATGTTTTTTAGTTAACCTTCTATCAATTATGAATCAAATCCATTTTAATGTTTATATTTGGAACCTATTTCGGTGCGAAACAAAAGAATGATGACATGCAGGTATCAAGCTCTATCGATGTGGTGGTGCAAGTCTCCAGTGCGACATAAGGGGTGTCTGTAAGGTTAGTACTCCAATACCACCCAAGTTAGTGACATCAAAGAGGTATCTATTGGTAAATTTATAAATGAACTACAAAGCAATGTGGAGGCAAGGGATGAGACATCTCGCCTATCGCAGCTCTATGGTCGCCCATTTTCTACATTGAGCGCTTGTGTATTAGATATATTGTCTTCCTTTAGGATAAATAACCCGAGATGAGAATGGGGGAAATGATGTGTCCTTATTCTGTAATGGTAAGCACTCATTTGATCACGTTCTTCGAAATAAGTGAATTAATTGTCCAGTTCTCCATCCTCTGAATGATGGTTGCTATTTCCAATGGGCCAAGGATCCAAGTCCAGAGTGGTTATAAATACCCCAACACTAAAGTTGATAGGGACAATTTGATATTGACTGAAATACTACAAACATAAAGCTTCTCACCCCTTGCACGAGCAAGCTCTCAACCCTATAACATACCCCAAAGCCCGTGACAACCCTTAACTTATTATACTTTTAGTAAGTACAATTGGTGTCCACCGTATGGTCGACTAAAACTGACTTGGATCACACTGTAGTGGTAGAAATGTTCAAGACTAAGCCATTGGATTGACTAGACTTATACAAATCAAAATAAAAATCGCCACCACGCTTTATTGTTTCCAAAGAAATGGGAAAAAGCGAATAATCCAAAAAGAGGGGGAAAGATTCTAGGTAAGGGGGTTGGTTATGCAAATGGAAGGTATTAGCACCCTAAACATCTACGGTACTCCGCATGAACCTCTTTGAAAAATCTGTATATTTTAGCTATGAAAAATGTTGTATAAAATAGATGGCGGAGGTGAGAAAATAAATATATTTATTATTATTTTTGCACCCGCCGCGGTTGCGAACCTTTAGTGCCTACGTACCACCTTTTCGTGCAATAGGGGATCAGGGTACACGTAGTTCCTCTTTTAAAAATTTTAAAACACAAATGTGTTGGTCAATTTTATGAGATAAAACATCATCGACATTCTCCGTGTGGAAAACATACCTACTATCCACAATCATGAGAAAGGAGAATTTGCATCATCTCAAAGTGGAGGATATGGCTTGAATTTTAAAATCATCAATGTCTCACTCAATACCCAAGTGAAAAATATCTCTCTTTACTACATATTATAGAAGTATAGTTGTTTGCATCACTACAAGGATTGCCAAGAGTTCAATCTTTTGAGAAAAGTTTAAAGATAAAAACTAAAGTGACAAAATGGTTTGAAATGAGATTGATTGACTTTTAGTCTTCTCACAAAAATGTCAAAGTATTGTTAAGTTTATTGGAGTTTATTTATGAAAATGTTTGAAAATGCATGGACCTAAGTCCAAGTTTATTATAAAAGTAATTCAAGATTAAAACAAGAAGAGTTTTTAAAAGGGGGGAGAAGATTTTTGAAATTAAAGAAGATGGGAGGAGAAGAAGAGGCTATCCTAAAGCATAAGGTAAAATCTAGGGATAAGAACCATCTAACCAACAAGAAGCCAATACTTGACATTATGAGGCAAAATAGAATTCTCATTCTTTGGATTGAAACCAACCAAGCAAATGTATTAGATCTCTTGAGAAAACCAAACTTCAAGTGTATTAAGTCTTTACAAAAATTGGACAGAGTAACGGCTGTATACGGGTGAATTCCAGATTACAAACCAAGAGTGTAATCGCAATAACCTGCACACAAAACAAACAAACAACCCAATGTCTTGAGGTAAACCTCAAGAGCTCCAAACAAAATAATCAGATAAGATCACAAGGTCTCCAATCATAGGCCAAGGTTTCTAATCCTAAGTCCAAAAAGTCCAATGCTCCATAATACCAAAGGTAGTAACCAAATAGTCCAAGTATCATTAAAGATTTTTAGGGTTTATGTTGATTATTAGGTGTCTTTAAAAGAAAATAAAAGCTCAAGTGAGCAAAATAAAAAATGACAAAAATATAAAGGGGCTCAAGTGGGCAAAGATAAAAAATAGCATGAAATGTAAATGCTAAAAATAAATGGTGCATAAAGTAAAGAACATAAAATAAAAACACAAAATAAAATCAATTATTAGTGATTAGTGGTTAATTGGATGATCATATTGAAACTTGCATTTGGAACTCATTAGAAGATTGTAAAACCAAAGCCTCCACACAACAAGTTGCATTTGCTTTTTGTCAAGTATATTATCTATTTGGAATCCTTATGAGTATTATTTAATGATCAACGACGTTTAAGTGATCCGCGTTGACCAAAGGTGTTGTGGATCCATTAGAGTATTGGTAGAACCAAAGCCTCCACACAATGAACCTCAAGGTTATTGGATCAAAGAGATCAAATTAACATACTTGGGCTTGCAAACATAAGTTTGGGCCACGAATGATCATTTATTCAAATCGGGACAAAATTTAGCGCCATGTTAAGCAATCGTAAGTGGACTTATATAGAAGTCGCACCTATTTTGAGGCCGGTCAATAGCAATCTATGCACCATTTGTTTTGAGACATGATATAGAGATCATGCTCCAACAATATTTAGTGCAATAAGAAGGGGGTGAGATGAAGAGGGATGTGAGAGAATATACGAACCACTTTTGGATTAAATTTAATCAAACTATTATTAAAATCATTCATCCATTTTGTGGAGTTAGACTCAACATCATAGATCCAATGATGTTACAATAGACTATGTGGTGAGATTCCAAAGGGAGGCATATTGCAGGCATTGGGTATGAGTTCTTTCTCTCATAACAGGTGCTTATGTGGTTCTCCTCTTCCAAGCTGCAAGTGAATATAATAATAACTTCATGTAAAACGGAGTAATTTGATGCATCTTCTAGGGAAATAAACTCTATGTTTTATTAATAATCAATGGAACAATGAAAAAAGGATATAGATTACAATTTATGTAGTTAAGCATGTGATTCAGTTTGTCAAACCATAAATATAGTATTTAAACATAAACAGAAACCAAAAAAATCACAAACATGTGCAAGTTACCAGGGGCCCAAAATTTGAGGACCCGGTGTTGTAGCTTTTGCTGCACATGGGAAAGATCGGTCCTGCAAGTAATTAAAATCTTCCCACCAAAATACTTAGAAGCCAATATAACATGATTTCATTCAGCAACTTCTGCACTCAAGAACAAATGTCAACTCCCTTAGTCCAATATGTTATTACCTCGACATTTGTTTACGCTTAAATCAACTTATAGTTTAAAATTTGTTTTTGACTTTCTCATCAATTTAGATCAACCTTATATGATTAATTATGGTAACCTGAGTTGGATCCATTTTATGTTTTTTAGTTAACCTTCTATCAATTATGAATCAAATCCATTTTAATGTTTATATTTGGAACCTATTTCGGTGCAGAACAAAAGATGATGACATGCAGGTATCAAGCTCTATCGATGTTGTAGTGCAAGTCTCCAGTACGACATAAGGGGTGTCTGTAAGGTTAGTACTCCAATGCCACCAAAGTTAGTGACATCAAAGAGGTATCTATTGGTAAATTTATAAATGAACCACAAGGCGATATGGAGGCAGGGGATGAGAGATCTCGCCTATCGCAGCTCTATGGTCGCCCATTTTTTACATTGAGCGCTTGTGTATTAGATATATTGCCTTCCTTTAGGATAAATAGCCCGAGATGAGAATGGGGGAAATGATGTGTCCCTATTCTATAATGGTAAGCACTCATTTGATCACATTCTTCGAAATAAGTGGATTAATTATCCAGTTCTTCATCCTCTGAATGATGATTGCTATTTTCAATGGGCCTAGGATCAAAGTCCAGAGCCGCTATAAATACCTCAAAACTAAAGTTGATAGGGATAATTTGATATTGACTGAAATACTACAAACATAAAGCTTCTCACCCCTTTCACGAGCAAGCTCTCAAACCTATAACAACCCCAAAGCCTCTGACAACCCTTAACGTATTGTACTTTTAGTAAGTACAATTGGTGTCCACCGTGTGGTCTACTAAAACTGGCTTAGGCCACACTCATTGCTATCTGTTGTTTTTTCACCGTCTTCTCACAAATATGTTTAAGAAAAACTCCAAGATCGATGTCAACACATCGTCGGAGATTTCACCATCGCGGAGAATCTAGTTCCTCTCGGAGAAAGTACGGCTAATAGGTTTTATAGAAAATACCGTGCCTGCTGACTGACATAACCCAAGGAGAGAACGAGAATCTAAAACCACTTTCTCGAATGAAGACGTTGTTGTCGTTCTTCCCTAGGAAATGACCCAATGGTCATCACAGTTCAATATGATAATTGGGATGTAAAGAAAGTGTTGATCGACTCTGGTAGATTAGTAGATGTCCTATTTTGAAACTCCTTCCAAAGGCTTCGACTCGACCTGATAGCATCATAGCATTCCAAGGTTCTCTGGTTGGCCTGTGAGGCGAACAAGTGGAGGTGAAAGGACATATAACGTTCAAAATGATGTTCATCTCAGGGAAAGCGTCAAAATGATTAAAATAAAATATCTTATGGTGGACATCTTGTGTCCTTACAATTCCGT